CTCTCCCATTTTCGTACTGGTGCTGCCCTATTTCCTCGTCCTCAAGCCCTATCCACTCATCAATTCTTCTTCCGATGAATTTATTTTCCACACTAGCAGCTCTCACAGCTACAACATCATTGAATGATCTCTATCAACCAACAATACCTTAACGTTCAAGTCTGACTTCACAAGAACCATTGGCCATGTGCCTCATCTTCAACGGAACTATTATCTACTCATCGTCGCCCACCCTGTCTTCGACTTCAACACCAACAACCTCCGTTTGGTAATCTAACATCCTCCTCTTTCCCTTTCTTTGAAGATAAACAAACCCTAATTTTCTTTGTTTAAAATCTCTGTTACTGAAATAGTCTGCTTGATTTAAGAGAATTACTGCATAAATAACCCCCACCAGAACCTCTTCACTTGTCACCGGAATCCTACCAGCCACCGTTGTCCCTTCCTTCGACCATAGTAATTCCATCATTAACCAAGTGCACCCTATGTTGGTAAGTCTTCGATCTCTTCACAATTTATTTGATTTTCATTTCTGATTATATATATATATATATATATATATATATATATATATATATATATGTTAATTTCTAGACAGTAATAAGTTAGCTTGATCATAGTCTAGTATGAAGATGAAACTTACATCACCTCTTTGAAATCACTTCATCTTGTTAGACTCACTAAAAGCATCTTTTGGTTCTTAATATATCTGTTTCTTAACCTGTAGGGTATAATTTATTGAATCTAATAGGTCCTCAAGACATGGAATGTCTAAAATTAGAGGAGAGTTTATGGCTGGTGTTCTACTTCATCTTCCTCCTATTCTAGCTTTTACAGCTCCAATCCCAAACAGGTAATAAGTTTTATTTTTTTTACTATTGTTGATAATATGAAGAGTGTGTAAGAACATTAGGGCCTCTGCAAATATTTCTGGATTGTAAATTGTATTTTGTCTTGAATCGATGGTCTTCGCACACATCTCTCTCTCCCTAATCCTATTAGAAACTGGACAAGGCTCATAAGACTGTGCGTATATTATCTTGCTTTTCTTGTTCCTAGTTTTATAAATCTTTTCCATTTTCCAAATATTTCTGGTTTTTCATTTTATTTATTTTCATTTTTAGCATTTGCAAGTTGGTGGGCTTAATGAGTTAAGCACTTAACCTAGACATGTATTTATGGTTGTTGTTTTTACTTAATCTGGACATAATGACTTAATAGCTTAATCTGGTTTAATGTATTAATATACTAACTTGTTTTTTCCTCACAACTCCTATCACCTTAAAAATTGATGAATGTTGTGAAATTTGATTTTCTTTCTTTGAATGTGAGGGTAAAATGGTCATGCACTCTACAAAAGGAATCACAGTTGATGTACACAACAGTTTATTGATATAGATGTTGTTATCCATTCAGCCATTTTAACAATACAGTTGTTGATTCAACATTGCTGAGAAGGAAATTTTGGAGAAGGCAGATCTTGAAGTGGCTTTGAAGGGTCTAAAAGACAGGCTTATAACCAAGAATGTGGTATGCTGAAAAATTTTCATTCTCAATATAAAGTTTCTTGGATAAAGTATGAAGTAGTTAGTTAAATATGACAAATGTACCCTTTTGGAACAGGATGAAGAGATTGCTGTAAGCCTGGTGGACAAAAAACTGCTTCTTTTACTAGGGTATCATCAACAGTTCAGGCGAGTCAACTCTGTCCTTTTTTGTCGTTTTATGATTACTTGATTTGTAAAATATGAGAGTGATATTGAGTGCAGTGCAGGGTGCAGGGTGCAATGTGAAAATTGAAATTTACCTTTCTTTTCTAAACATCAAATTAGTTGATTTTTAATTCAATTCCCCAATCTCTATAGTTCATTCTCAATTTTGTGGCTTTTTAAGACATCTTGTTCTTTATGTTCCTTAATAGATTTTCATGTTTTATTAAAGTTAATTTTTTTGCCATTTGATTTATAAGTACTTGATGTTTCTGCTAAAGTTCTTTTATAATTTGATTAACTATATAAATGTCGATCAATCTTATCAAACACCCCCCCCCCCCCTTTGTGTATCTGGTAACAATATTTTTTTTGTTGTTTGAAATTTGAAATCTCCAATAACCTAAAATAAATTTTTTTATTTCTGGTGCAGTATATGTGGTAAGGTTTGCACCAGGTACGGATTTTAGTGATGGCGGATTCAACTTGCATCGGACTTACGACTTGGAATCGAGCAAGATTACATCCAAAATAACAGTCCAAATGGTCAGATATTATCTATACAACATGGTAATGGGTCTTTTTTCTTCTTTTTATTTTGACTTCATTTTTGTTTTTAATTATTTCATTATATGGGTTTAATCTTTGCAGATTTTGTCCCATTGAATATACTGAATACAATTCCAGATTTTCAAAAATTGTCATGCATGAATGATTTGTTGAAAAATATTTAATATAACATAGTGATATAAATTTGATATTGTTTAATCATAACATCACTAATAATGCATATTTACATACAAAACCACTGATGAGTCATTGAAGGCATCCAAGGAGTTAACCAACAGATGGAAACATGATGTAGACGACACAATCGTGGTGAAGGCCAGCTAGCTTGAAAACATGAAAGTTCTCAAATGGTATGTGAAACTCAATCCGGATTTCCAACCTCAAAGTTTTGACTTTTTTGTATAAAATATTTGAAATTTGGTTTTGATTTTGGTTACTTTTTTTTCTTTCTATGTTTGTTATAGTTTTAAATTTTTTTTTTGCATCAAACAACTTGAACTTCAACTACATAATAAATAAATTACTATTGTTTAATTTATTTTCTTATTATTTTTCAATTGAAGTTATTTTTAATTACTTGATGTTTTGCTCAAATTTTGTCAAACAAACAAGGGTATGAATCAATATTTATGCTTACTACACATCAATCCTCACACTTATGAAGTAGGTTTAATATTTTTTGTGTTTCTTATCATTATTAAAGGTTATTTAAAACATTTGTCCACCAACCAAATATTAAATTTAAAATAAGGCTTTCTGTCAATGTTTGCAGCTTTCTTTGGAAAAACATTATGTAATAGCTCTTTAGCACACTCTCGATCATTTAACAGGAGTATAAATTAACTTAAACTTTATGTGTATAACCTCTATTTCTTTCTATTTTCCCATCCACTGTTCTTCTGGATAAAAAAAAAAATAGTTGGAAAATGGAGGGAAAAAATAAATGAGGTTAAATTTGTAAAATGTTATACGTAATGGGAAATCCATGACTTTCATTATGAAGTCCTTACTTTTTAATCAATTTATAAGGTCTGTTTAATTTCTGGATTGAATAAACCGTTGTGATTGTAAGTTGTATGAACTCCTAATTAAGTTAACAACAATCCATTTACGTTGAATATTGAGTATGATCCTCCTGTTGGAGTAATTTAGAATAAGGGGAAGGGGCATTTTCGGAAGTTTTTTTTATTCAGTAATTTTTCTTCCAATATTTTAGTTTGATTCAATTTCTTTTTATGTTAGTATAAATTAGAAGATGCGTTATTTTGTAATTTAGTTCCAGAACTAGTTTCTCCACCTAATAAAGCTAAGGCTCCAATCAATCTTGTTATCCCCTGTTTTCATGTTTCTTGTTCTATGTCCATGTTTTGATATGTTGGTTCACATCTGCACTAACAACTTCTATATTATCTATTCCTCTTTAAGAAATCATTTCATTGGTTTGTATCAAGTGTAAAATTTTCTTAAAGAGTTCATCGCATATGGTTAACTTCATCCTTTTTTTCTTTGAACTAATATGTTCGCCATGTCTAAAGTACAGTAGGGAAGTTAGCAGGCACCTTGAATTAATGTCTAAATTCACCGTATGATAGTCTATGTAAGAATACAAAGTTAGTTATTTGCTCATATTACTTGACAATTAAAAGAAAATATGACTAAATACTCGTTCGTGGACTAATCAATTTATCATGTTGTAAAGTAATCTTGTTGTGATTAAATAGATATTAGACAACAACACATTTTAATACTTGAATCCTTTATGTTTTCTAACAAGATCTTGATGCATCAAACTTGAGGCCGTATCTGTAGTTGAAATCAAAATCAAAGTCCCTAACAATAAGAAAGTGTAATATTGTATGTATTTTTGGCTTTACATGAGATTTTTTTTTATACCAGGCATGGCCATTAGCTCCAACAAGTGATTTCAATCATTATATATGTTTGTTAGATAATATTAAGCACAAATATTCTAAACTATAGTGTTGAATTATATGGTCCAGGCCTAGGGAAGAAGTAGGAATGTACTGGGGCTATAAAGTTAGATATGCTCCCAATTTCAGTTCAATAATGAAACACTGCCCATATAAGGTAACAAAGGGCAACATATTCGTATCTATTTCTGGATTAATTCCATAATCCATAAATAGGAACAAGTGTGTTGCGATTTTGAAATTTAGTTAGCAGCAATAAAATGTATCTTATTGTTTGCATTTTTTAGCAGGAAATCAGGTCATTAATTATGTTTTCCTTTTCTACTTTTTTCCTTTTCTGATTGCTCTTTTTCATTTTAGCAGGTATTCAAGTCATTAACTTGATATCATATCAGGTATTGGATGAGTTTCAAAAATATACATGGCCAGTTCCTGTAGACCAAAAGGCATTAAGGTTCACTAGAACTACTTTAACCATAACTTCTCATTTGTTAGGGAGTATGTGTTCCTGGTTCAGGGGCTAGAGTAATGGCAGTTTTGGGTGGGCCCACAACTAAAGGTCCAAGTTTGTGATTCAATATCCTTTAGTTTTGGATAAACGATTCCCACCATTGTATTCTTAGTTATTAGCATTGAATGTAATTCATTCCCATTCTCTTTTCATGATCAAAAGACATTATCACCCCTGTTTATGCAGAAACATCGGAAAACATAGGCGTGGTGTAGCCAGAGAACTAATGTGGCCAGAAGCTTTACATCTTGTCAACTTGATGCATCTAAGTAGAACTTCATGATTGCTGATTTGTTAAGAGAATGGTGGATTTGGAACTGTTTACAAGGATCAGTTAGATTCAGAGAAGGTAAAATATTCAAAACGGTGTCTTTCATATTTTCCATGGGTCGTACACTTGCTACAATTAATGTACTCTTACACAAAAGTTTGAACAATTAGTAAAAGGAAACTTATGTTCCTTTTTTATTTTTCCTTGTTGACAAAATATCTAAATTGTTAAATTCTTGAAGTCACAAATTGTATAAAGTTTGGCGCAATATAGTTTCATAATTCGCTATTAGGGTTGTGAATCTGTGCTTGTTTCCTAGCACAAATTGACAAAATATCTAAATTGTTAATTTACTAATTAGGACACCATAGATTGATATATCAGAACTTGAGAATCTTTTCTCAGCTGCAATTCCCCCTAACAAGAATGTTGCAAAATCAAAATCTGTTCCAATTGCTAATAAACCAGAAAAAGTTCAACTGGTAATATATAGTAATATACTATCTGTCATAGTTTAATGTATATTTTTTTTTATATAATTTTGACTTTTTTGACCTTGTTACAGATTGATCATAGGCGAGCATACAACTGTGAGATCATGCTTTCAAAGGTGAATATACCTTTGCATGAACTAATGGTAAGCTGGCCAAAGTTGTTAAAATATTTTTGTATGTTAATTTATATAATTCATAAAATTAAAAAAATGGCAGGATTATATTAGCATATTAATTTTTTGATAAGTCGCCAGTATAGGTATTAGCCATTCAAACTGTTAGGACCCTTTCCAGATGTTCACTTTTCCCTCATTTGAGGAGATAAGTTTGTTATTATTATTTTTTTCTTTTTTCCTTTCTGAGTGTGGATATGGAAACTTCATGCACAATTTTATTATAATTATTTTCCAGGTCATATGAATGATTAAATGTCGACACTGGACATGCACCTGAATTCTAAATTTTGTGGTGCTTGTAGAGTGTCACATATTGATTGATTAATGGTTTGGTTGAACACAAGTCACATGATACTTCATGCATAGTTTGGATAATATTAAATTGTTAATGGTTCAGTTTAGAATTCAAGCGATGTCTAATGTTTAATGATTAATTTCACAGGTGATGACCTTACATGTGATAATGCAAATCTTGAAGGTGAATCAGGGTCACGCTCTAAGCAATTGAGAAAGCTACTTCTATTCTCTAGGAATGTTTAATGATCAATTTCACCTGGTTGCCAAGGCTGCTAGGTGAAATTGATGTTAACTCTTTTTATCTTGGATTACTTGACTGGTATTATAGCAACCAAATGTCTCATTTTCATTAATTTGGCTAAAAAACTATTTTCATTGCCTATTAAGGCACTAAATTAACATTTTATGTTAAATATGTCACCATGCTTACAGTTTTTTCTGACTTCCATTTTTTTATAACATAACAAAACCTCACTCGCTGATGTCATCTTTTCGGACTTCCATTTTTTTATATAATTTTTATTTGGGTCAGGAGGAGGCTGCTGATGACAAAGCACCACAATCTAAAAGAGGCATCAAGTCACGTGCAATTCTTGGTAGACATGTCAAAGGAATTGTCATAGAGCAGGTTGTTATAATGCTTCACATGTTCAAAATAGCAATTTACTTTCTTTATTTTGTTTATCGTAACATTATACTAAAATTCTTTCTAGGGTATTCTGCTCATTTACATTGCAAATTTGCTGCTTTAGTTCAACATCCAGATGGAGGTCAAGTCACTAAGTTTCTTGCTTGTCGACTATTTGTTGACTTTTTTAAAAGATTTTTATTTTCCAATTATGATTTCAACAGATTATTGAAGTTGAATTGGGTCTCGGTCCATATGAGATTGAATATGATGAAGAGTGACTAGCAATCACTCGTAGATAGGTATTGGTACATCCAATATTGAAATGAACAATTTACCCTCGACATTTTCCTTGATAGTAAATCCTCCCCTGAATACTAAATCCATACCATAGGTGTAGTATGTAAACTATTTATTAACAAATAAATAAATCAATATGAAAACCTCTCAGCAAATATAAGTAAAATGTTGGTTGATATTTTTTTATTTTTTTCTTGTTTCCAGGGAGTGGGTTAGCTGGAATAAAGCAAAGGGAGTGGGTTGGCCTTTTGTTTTTTTGTTAAATGTTAATCGTTACTGAAAGGAAAAAAAATCAAAATTTAATTTTGATTTATTTGATGTCTCGTGTCTTGCAGGTTCATGGTGGTCAGCAGTCCATGTAAGTTTCTTGATTTGTACCACCTTATATTCAAGAAATAGCAATGTACTTTCCATAAAACAATTACAAATTATATTCTTTGAAAAAATTGCTAGATAGGTAGGTTTAAAAGTAGAATGTCCTAATAAGAATTAATTTTAAAAGTAGAATGAAAATGACAAGTGATTTTGTGTTGTGTTTACAAGGTTGATGAAAGCGAATAGCTTTGGAGTTAAAAGAGGAAAAGCAAGCTCAAGTTGAAAGAGATAAGATACTACAAATGCAAGTGTTCCATTCTTCATTTCAATTGTTAGTATGAAACACAAAGTAGATTAGATGAATGCAAATTTATATATTGTAAGAAATAGAATTGTAAGACATTAAATTTTATGCAATGGATTGTATTTTTTATATGGTATTTTATTTCTATTATGAGACAGTAAATGCAAATTTAATTTAAAAATTAATAAATATATAAGTAGATTTTTTTAAACATTTAAATTTACGATACGCAAAAATGTGTGTCGTCTTCATTTATGACATGGCCTTTCTTGACAGGGGTTTTAATGATACGCATTGCGTGTCATTAACACACACGTCGTAAGGTTATGACACGCGAATGCGTGTCATCTTCCTTTATGACAGGGCCTTCCTTGATACGCATTGCGTGTCGTAATTGCGTGTCGTAAATGTGCATCGTCTCTCTTTATGACAGGGGCTTCCTTGACGCGCATTTGCGTGTCGTCTGAGCCTTTTACGACGCGCAATGAGCATCGTAAAAGGCTGTTTTTCTAGTAGTGAATTTTTCCTCAAATGCCATTGTAAGGATATTTTAAAATAAATAAAATCATCATTTTCCTTTTATTTTAAAAACTTAGCGGAAAAACTTATCCTTACAATCCATATGAAAAACTTGTTGTTATCTATTCCTAAGCAACATCTCATAACTCCTAAGAAGTAGCTCAAGAATCCGATCTTCAAACTACGCGATAGAAATCCATCTACGCGATCAGATTCAACATATTCTTTCTTTAAGTTTCTTCACTTTACTTTGATTCTTAAAACATCACCATGTGAGCCAGTCACATCATGTATCAAGAATCTCAGAATAGAAACTTAGCAGAGTTAGATAGTGGACTCTACCTAAAGTAGAGTCAAACTTATTGACTTTAACATCCTTAGGTAAATTTGGCAGCTTCGCAACTAATGACCCTTCCTTTGGCAATATAAACATATGGACCCTTTGATAATGGTACACGGGACTTTTACAGACTTTGCTTTTCTCTTTACCATTTGGTCAACCGAGTTAACTATGGCCGATCCCTTTCCACTGGGAAGAGAGAGCTTTACTAGATATCCAATGTCATCACTGTCAATGTCCATAAAGTTTTAAGAAGTTGATCTTAGCAAATAAATAAGATCATTAACGATCTTGTCATAGTCTGTTTCATAAGTGTTCCAAAGGAACTCACTATGTGACTTAGAAAGTAGTTGAACCACCAACTTTATCAAGACTTTGACACCCTTCTCTCCCGGCTTGTCAATATGTGACTACATCTCCAAGATGTGATCACACCTTGACCTTGCCTTGCCAATAGGGCTTGATTGAATTTGAACTTGTGGGTTAGGGAGAATAATTTGAGGAGGTGAAAGAAGTATGATTTCCAAGGGACATCATCTTCATTTAGGAAAGCTTGTTTCAAGAGATTTGGGAAGATCATAAATGTCTAAACCAGACATGTTTTGGGAGATATTCAAGATAGTTGATCTAAAGTCCTTAATATGACACCCGATCTGAAATATTAAGGCTAGGACCCAACAAACTATTTTATAATTTAGAAGAGGGATGCCGTAATCCAAGCTATAAAACATTTGAAGGTAGGTGAATGACGATTCACCAATTTCCACCATGAAAAACAAAATAATAATTAGGTTTTAATTGGCTTTGAAACTCTTAGATCTTTGAGATTCATTGAACTGTTCAATGGCATGTTTCAATCTCGAGTGTGCCCTTCAGGTTTTGTGACTGGGATGCCGAGGATCACAAGACAAGGTGTGAAGTAACCATGCAAATTACTTGGTACCATTAAGTGTTTACCCCTCAATCGATGTGTCGGTTAACCACACACGCTCTATCAATACTATGATAAACATTAAGTTACCCTTTGCCTACCTTGTTAAATACGAGTTAGTGTGCCGGTTAACCATACACGCTCCACTAACCGACTTAAACAAAGAGCAAAGTGTAATTTCATGGATTAGCACCTTATTCACATTTTCCTAAGTAACTAAGATTGGGTATTATTAAGAGTTTAGTTACTTAGTATTTATCATTGATACTTTTAATGAAAGGAGAATTATAGTCCTGTCAAACCCGTTTGGCTAACGACCCTCCACCAGTCAAGCAAGCGGTGGGTGAGACTGGACACCCATTAAGTTGCCATTTTATAGGCAAGAACCTTATACCCACCTTATAGACCGGCTTCGTGAATGAGGCGTACTAGCGGTAAGACTAACTTTACTCTTATACACATATATATATATATATATATATATATATATATATATATATATATTAACTTATAACATTATAAAGTATAAGGGTTGAGTTTTAACTCTTAAAATTCTAAGGGCTAACTTGGAATTAAAGTATTCATAAGAGAAAACTTTACAAATTCCAAAACTTGAGGGCAAGTTTTAAAACTATTCAAAACTAATTAATTCCATAACTTATGTGTTTAAAGTAGTTTTCATCCAAAAACTTTTCAAGTTCCATAACTTGAGGACAAGTTATGGAAGACTTTAAACTAATAAAAGAATTAACTTTTCTTTATTTTATAACTTATGGAATTAATTAAGGTTACACTTTATTTATTTATTTATTTATTATTTAATGAAGAGACTCTTGGTCCTCCATAACTTGAGGACAAGTTATGGAGTCATAAAACCATTTAATTAGAACTAGACTCTTCATTTTTGTAACCTTTGCCAACTTTTATGAGTTTTATGAAACTTAAATGTGACTTTTCATATAACTTGAGGACAAGTTACAAAAACACATTTTAGAATCAACTCTTAGATTAATTTGGATTGAAAAAAACTATTTCACTCAACTTTTCTATTAATCTAAGCAACTCATAAGAACAAGATAATTCAAATCAAACTTTTTCATGTAATTAGTCTAAACCTTAAACTAATACAAAACATGAATCTATTGACAATTATCTTTGAAATTGGATTCGCATGAACATTAGCACGTCAAAAACAAGTTTATAAGTCCAAAAACATCTTAGGGTAATGTTCCTAGTCAAATTCCAGCCAAAAAAGTCGAATTTATGCTGTCTGGGGGTCCAACTCGTCGAGTGCACGAACCAACTCGGCGAGTTGGATGCATTTTGCCTTGTACTTGGCGAGTCCATTCATGGACTCGGCGAGTCTTCTGGGCAGACAGCATCAAAACTCGATTTTTTTCAGCTCCATTTGCAAGTATAACAAGAAAACAAGCCTAGGCTTTAATACCACTGTTGGGTTTTGAGCATTCTAAGACTCCTAAGTGTACATGCCACCCTAAATACCTTGGATCTATGTTTTCTCTATTATACATGCAAATATGAACATCCAAGGCATTATCCTAATCTAGCATACAAAACAATGACTATAGCAAGATAGATTACATACCTCATTGATGTAGAAAGTCTTCATGAAGCTTGGGTGCCTAGTGCCCCAAGTGTGACACCTCAAATGGTTCACACAACACCAAATACACTTGGAATAACTTGAGAGAATTCTACACTCATGAAAATCGGCTAGCCCTTTCTTACTCTCTCTAGTGACCGATTTTGGTCAAGAATAAGATGCTTATATAGTTAGGGTTACACCATGTAAACCCTAATTGACATGGCCTTTCATTTCCATGATCCATGGGTACAAAAACACCATGGAGCATCATATGGGTTTTAGCCCAACTAGATACTCCATGGAGCATTAGCCCACTATATAAGTATGGATGATTTGTACAATCAACCCATACATTTAATTAGTCTTCTTTTTATCACTTAATTAATCTTAGATTAATTCTTGATCAATACTAATTAAATAATCTTATTATTCTTATTATGAATATACTAGAACTTATAATATATTAATAACCAGAAGTGTCTTATTTCTCTCATTATAGTCTATCCAAGTGCATGATGCCATGCAACCCAAATGGACCATGCCGGGTCGGGTCAAGTCTTACCAATTATAGTTATGGACTTACACATGAATCCAACAATATCTCTTAGATCCACAAATGTTGTTTTCAAAAGAATAGGTTTTGCCATCCAAAAAGAGCTAGCGACACAACTTGTTGCCCGTTTGCCTTCAATCGATATGTATTGAATTCAATTTAACTATAAATTGTAAATTATTTTTGGATTGTTATAACATTAAATGAAAAAAAAACATAAAAGAGATATAACATTGTCTGCAATCCTGCTGGGGAGATATTAATATTGTTAAACACCTTATTATTTCTCCACCAAATGTTCCAACGTAAATAGAAGAGAATGGCTTTGAGAATACTTTTATTGTAGGTGGACAATTTCCCTAATTAGCTACAATGTCGATGAATTCGGAAACACTACAGAAATGCCGATAAAA